AATTTGAATGGTTTAAGTTAGGTCTAGGTTAGGTTTAAATTAGGTTAGATAACAATTTCGTAGTAGCAACTATTAAATTACCAGCGAATTTTTTTTTTTTCTTGTTGTTTTTAATTTAGAATTTTTTCTTCCGCTTCAAGTTAGAAATTTAGTAGTATTCGTTCGAACATTGGCTTGTAACGTATCGACGTTGCTCTGTGGACGACATCCATGGTGGCATGGTGCCTCGTGGAAAACCCATGGAACGCATTAGGGCTTTCTCGGGGTTCATTCCCCTCTTTTCTCGTTCCTCGTGTTCTCAATATCGACCTCGCTTATATTTTCTCGATCCAACGCGAAGGGTCGTTGGCCCCCTCTCTTCTCGCTCCCGGAAATCGTGGCTCATGTCTCTCAAAGGCGACCTCGAACAATGGATTTTATTTCCATTGCAGTTCTACGTGACCTTCTTTATCTCGTTTTGCAGCCAAAGTTCGCGTGTTCGAGCGGTCTTCTCCTTGCAACTTGCAAGTAAAACATTTCACGATAATTAAACATCCCTCTAAAATATTGTGCCTGATATTTGTCTACAGATATTTGTCTTATTACGTTCTGACAATTGGATATTTGGATGTTTAGTTAATCCTAATTGAAATTAGAACTGTTAGATGTCAGCTGATTTCCTTTTTAACGTCTCCGACTTTTGGTTAATGAAAATAAACTCCGAATAAGTCGAGATTCTGAATTGAAGTTATTTAAGAAAGTTGAAGGAAAGTTGATTTCTCTAACCTCGGAAAAAATACCGCGACCGGCTGGAAATTTTCTTTTTTAAAAGGAAGTTTATCGATGAACAATTCACGCACGTGATTACGTCCTTGGCGAAACGAGGTCACGATTATTTCGCCGTGACCTCGTGGAGTAACTCGTACGAGTGGGCAAAAATTCCAGCAAAGTTTCGTCGAAAAGGGGATCAGGAGGGTCTTCTTAAATTTTATCGGTTGCCAGTGGCAACGCCTCTCGTTCTCGGGCCAATTCTTACCAGCGTTTCGCTTCTTCAAAAGAAGAAGAACCGATCGACAGCCAGCAGGGAAAAACGTGGACGTCGTGGGTTGAACTTGAAAGTGAGGAGAGAAGGCCTCCTCTTTTTTCCCCTTGCATTAATACGAACGAAGCTGACAAAGTTTTTCATTCGCGAAAAGCAGGGGAAAAAAAGGAATTCTTCGAAACCTGAAATCTTACGTGAACGTGTTACGTAGTCGTAGCTTTTTTCTAACGAACATAATGTTAAAATGGTGAAAAGATTATTCTAAGCTGAAATAACTCAAAGAACAGCGAAAATATGTTTCATTAAGTAAGAAAAGTATAAAATCGTATTTTTCTAACTTCTTTCTGTAAAATGAAATTCAACAATTGAAAATCAACATGAATAAACGCGAGACGAAAGCTTCCAAAGCGTAATCATCTTGAATTGAAAGCGTGGAAAATTTCGATGAGATGAAATATTAAAATAGCAAAAATATTATTTAAGCTACTTCTAACCTAAAATAACTCGAAATAACCTTAAATATTTTTTATTAAATAAATAAGTAAGTAAATCAGAAAAGGACTCACTCAGTTTCTCATTTGCAGTTATTCGAAATTTTCTACATCTACCTTAATTTAATTAATTAAACCTACCACTTTTTTTCATATTTCTACGACATCGAATTTTTACAACGCTCGCGCCGGCGACGTAAAATTTTGCAATGTTTAAGACTCTTAAACGAGTCTTAATAACCACAGGCCCTTAGTTAACCTTCGTTGTTCGTTCTTCGAATTCATGTGCTCTCTTTGGAACGTTTTTTAACCAAATCAAACAGACTATCCAGCAATTTATTTCTCTGCATGGCAGGTGAAAGCTTCCTTAAGCCGTTAATGCAACAACTTGCAACAATTTGCAAATACGTGGAAAAATGATATTTTTTTTTTTTTTTTTCAAATAGGGACACACATCGTTTTGCACGAAAGTAAGATATTTCTATCGAATTCGGGAGGGGATTCAAGAGTTTAATCGCACGCGTAAAAGAAAATGGCGGCAAAGAAACTACGATTGTAGGCGGCGCCACTGAATGGGACGAGGAAATATGAACAATCAAATTTGCAACTGCTCGTCTGATGCAAACGCTTGATAAAAATTACAATTATTTCCTTTGATCATGCTTGTGGAGTTTTTCAATACGTCAGGATTATAAGACGTAATGATATTTTATTATTTCTATATTAATTTAACCACGTACTTAAATATGATTTAAAATTTAATTTAATCGGTCGTTTGGAAGTATTCAAAATATTTATCCCATAAGATTCTGATAAAGTCACATTTACATTATACACTGTTTATGTATATGTTATAAATTTGAAACTGTTTTCGAAGAACTTGTTCGATAGATTCAACTTGTAATTTCATGCGAGATAAAGCAAGATTGTAAGGTTAACGATAAGAAAACACTGTAAAATTAGGTGATAATGGTAAATCGGATGTTCGCGTTACGCAAGCGATCAGATACAGAAATATTCGTCTAATAGCGAAGAATAGTTAGATAAGCGTGGCTGAGGATACGAAGATAAATATTTCGTCAGCAACTGGAATTATTTATTTCATGATTTCGCTGAAAACGATATTCTTCCCTTCCTTGTTTATACTACACAATTATATACAAAGCTGCACTATTTAAATAGATATCTAAGGCAATGATAGTTCATAACGCATATATTTTGTGAACACTGCAAACGTACCGCTTTTGTTAATTATTTATAAAAGACGAAAAGGTGTTGAATATGTAATTCAAAATAAAATAAAAAAGGAAAAGAATGTAAAGCTGTAAAATAAATGTAAATCTTTATGGAAGAAAAAGTAGAAGAAGAAATGACGTTAATATCTTTTTAACCAAACATTTTCCATCAAATCTTTAACAGTTACTTGAAGTCAAGATCGCGTCACACGGAGAAATGCTATTTTTCCACGAAAACATTTCTACCATAATCAACGATAACATTCGTCTCCAACGTACGAAATGATTTTGATTTGCTTCTCGATTTGATACTCGAAACGAGCTCCAGTTTCTTTCAGAAAAATGCTACGAACAAATTCACTAGCATGAAACGTTTAACGAAATTATTGCGGAAAGTCGAGAATTTTCATCGCGTCTCTTTGGTTCTTTGGTTTTACAAAATGGCGCGGCTTCGCCCGGGCGGCATTATGGTTACCCATCCTGTGTAGGGAGAAACTCCATTCGACAAAGCCACCCTTCGCGTAGGGTGAACTCTCGATCCCCCGTACACTGAATTCGAAAGTAACGCAAGGGAGGGGATGAACGAAGAAAGGATGTCCAAAAGGGACCCCCGGGAAATTCTTGGAAAATGGTATCACCGGTGCCTGTTGGCTCCACTGCCATCTGACAATGAAAATCATTATCCATAATTATGCATTCCATGGAAATGAATATTGGCTATTGGTAATGCAGATCTTCTACCATGAAATCGACATTCGACTGCATTGAATAGGTCGTCTCTAACCTAAACCTAACCTAAACCTAACCTTTGATTATCCTATAATTGTAAGAATATGATATAGAATTCTACATTTAAACATACGTAAATCAGTCAAAGATATTAATATCAAATAGTTATTCTATGTCTCATTTGTGGCAAAGCTTCTTAACTTATATCTAACAACCTAATAAATAAATTTTGCAACAACTAACAGCAACCATGATCGAAGTCAATCAGTTTTTATTATTCCTTATGTAATTCGTTATTATATTACGTATAATAGCAATTGTATATCAGATTATATGATTCCTCAAGTCTGTTTACATGGAAATGCACATGATCTTCTCGCGTCATGTTTCAATCTTTTACACGCTAAACTTTATTAATTTGTAATTATAATTGAATTAATGCCCAAGCTCTCTTCCTATGCATCGGTTGACCTAATGAAATGCGTGAATAAAAAATTATTAAATTTCTATTCAGTCGAAACATTCGTTCAAGTAATTTCTCAATTCTTGCAAATTACGTTTGAAATTTGACTTAAAATTGAAGGGGACAAAATTAACTTTGAACTCCATTCGGATAACGCAAATTTATCGTGATTCTGGAAACGTAAAATCTGCTCTAAATACGTCTGACTTTTGTAAGTCGTGCGAAATATAGAAAGGAATCTGAGGATCTAATTCTAAAAGCACGATTTAAAAAGTTTACATATTGATTCTTTTGATTTTTGCGAATGAAAATTTGATCGATTCGTGAACATTGGGAACACTAGCGGTGAAACGGTGGAACTAAAATTGATCGTTGTCTTTGTCGCGTACTTGTGCGCTCCTTATCTACAGGTAGTGCTGCCATCTGTATTCGACCGAAATAAAAAAGTTGAAATATAAAACCCGTTAGATGGCAGCATATGGTTTCTTCCCTTTTAAATAATTTACTTAGAACAGAATATAATTTATTTAAAATTTTATGAACACAAAATGTTGGTCTTGTTGTGGGCGTGCTTCGCCAATGAATTTCCATGTGCGTCTGATTTTCTTTTCTCCTTCTGCCAGCGTTGGCCTTGTCGGTAAAGCAGGAATTGAATGTCACCACATTTCTCGTTAGATAATTCTAAATAGATCCGACAGATGGCAGCAGCATGCTTGTTCGTGTAGGTACGATGATCGATAAATAATAAAGTCAACGTACTACAAATGAAAATTTTATAATTTATTTTAACGTTTACATGATACAGAATTTAATGGATGAATTACGACTGACGACTGTTTATTAATTTCTTACTTACTGTTATATATCTTCTTGGAAATTTGTTTGTAACTTGGTAACTAATAATTTATTGTATCTCCATGGTAACTTTTTATAAGACTGAATAGATGTCGGTACATTCGTAGACAAAGAGGAATTTAATTTTTAACGAGGATAGATAGATAGATATGGTGTGATAAATAAGGAACTCAATAATGTACGTCAAAGCGTAATGGATTTTAGTTCTACTATTTCGTCGCTACGTGGCGCTAACATTTCAACTCTCACGAATTTTCATTTAAGTTAGAAAAATTAATTAAGAAGATTAATTTACGAATTCTTTTAATTGCGTTTTTAGAATTGGAGTCGTAGCTATTTTTTTTTTATATATATCATTTAACTTACAAAATGCATATATGAAGATGTAGAAATTCTAGCTGATAGATCGAAACACTGGACTTGCAAACTACAGAATTTTTAATACAATCCCATTAAGCTACTAAATCTTGCACAGTAATATTATTATTGCACAACACTGATAAAAGTTTCATTTATTAATATCGTCAATGATTCTTAATTCATTTCTGCTACTTTTCGATTGTTGCAAAGAATGGCAACATCCAGTCTAATCCTCTCGGATTATTAATTGAGCGTCATCGTCTAACAATAATAATTTCCGAGGAACGATGCAATCCGGCACTCTGATTTCATCATAATTGCGAGTACTACGTTCCACTATGACCTTGCACGCGGAATGATCCTACTTCCAAACTAAAATCGAGCTTTCCTGTTTGCGTGCGGAATCGATGGACGACGTTCTGTCTTGCAATTGGTCCGATCGTTCTTCCGGTGGTATCAACTTGCCCATGAAGGCGGCCGAGTAGTTCCCTTTTCCTGGATCGTCGAACACGATTCGATCGTTGATAACCCACTGGCTGTAACGGATCTCCGAAAGAAGGTTGAAGCCGGTAACCTGCGCTGTTGCCTGGCTGGCACCGCAGGTGAAAAGACCACCGATCGCTGGCAATCTTAAGGTCACCGCTAGTTGCACGCACGCATTCAGAAGCGCAGTTTCCACGCCTTTCTCTTGATAAGACGGGTGCACGCAGAGAACGTAGATGCAAAGATATTCCTCGTGCCCGAACGTTTCGTGCGCGTTCGTTCCCTTGAGCAACGTGTTCAGCAAATGCATGATCTTGCGCAAGGTTGCTCCTTCGATGATCTACGCGACGAAAACTAATATTGATAATACTACTAACTAGTAGTATATATAATACGGCTATACTAACTAATGTTATATATTAGTTATATTACTATATGTCATAGTATATAGTATATATTATATACTATTATATACTAATATGTAACAGTATATTAGTATAATTAAGAAATTGTATTATATATTATACTGTTAATATAATGTTAATATAATATATATTATAATTATACATATTATATAATAATATATATTAACTACTAACTATATATTAACTATACTAACTATATATTAACTAATATACCAATACTATTAACATATAACAATACTACTAACTATATACTAACTAATACTAATATAATTTAATATTATATACTAGTTATATTATTATTATGTAATACTACTAACTAATATACTACTATTATGCTATTATTATATAATACTACTATTATATAACATTACTAAATTATATAATACTACTAATAGCAGTATTATATAATACTACTATTAATAATACTACGAACTATATACTAACTAATATACCAATACTATTATTATACTACTACAATACTATTATTATGTAATAGTACTATTATACTACTATTATACTACTACAATACTATTATTATGTAATAGTACTATTATACTACTATAATACTACTATTATATAACACTACTAAATTATATAATACTACTAATAGTAATATTACAGAATACTACTATTAATAATACTACTAACTATATACTAACTAATATACCAATACTACTAACATATAATAATACTACTAACTATATACTAATATACCAATTAATATTATATACTAGTTATAATACTATTATATACTATATATTATTAATATATCAATATATCAGATATCAATATATAAATATCAATATATATTAATATTATTAATGTATACTACTAATAATATTAATTAATATTAATAATACTGACAACTAATATTAACTATCTAATACTAACTAATACTAATTGATAGTATTAGTCAATATTATCAGTTATTATTATAGTTAATATTGTCATCTAATAACAGACTGGCAATTGTAAATAAGCAAATGAGCAAGTATTATTAATATATATATTGATATAAATATATATATATATTGATATTAACTACCTAATACTAACTAATACTAATTGATAGTATTAGTCAATATTATTAATCATTATTATTAGTTATTGTTATAGTTGATGTTACTAGCTAATAACAGACTGGCAATTGTAAATAAGCAAATGTGGAAGTACTATTAATATACACTACTAATAATTACTAACTGATATTAACTGTCTAATACTAACTAATACTATCTAATGCTGACTAATACTAATTGATAGTACTAGTCAATATTATTAGTCATTATTATCAATTATTGCTATAGTCAATATTATTAGCTAATAACAGACTGGCAATTGTAAGTAAACAAATGAGCAAGTGTTATTAATATACACTACTAATAATTACTAACTGATATTAACCACCTAATACTAACTAATACTAACTAATACTAATTGATAGTCATTATTATCAGTTATTGTTATAGTTAATATTATTAGCTAATAACTGGCAATTATAAGTAAACAAATGAGCAAGTGTTATTAATATACACTACTAATAATTACTAACTGATATTAACCACCTAATACTAACTAATACTAACTAATAATAATTGATAGTCATTATTATCAGTTATTGTTATAGTTAATATTATCATCTAATAACAGACTGGCAATTGTAAGTAAACAAATGAGCAAGTGTTATTAATATACACTACTAATAATTACTAACTGATATTAACCACCTAATACTAACTAATACTAACTAATACTAATTGATAGTCATTATTATCAGTTATTGTTATAGTTAATATTATTAGCCAATAACTGGCAATTATAAGTAAGCAAATGAGCAAGTGTTATTAATATACACTACTAATAATTACTAACTGATATTAACCACCTAATACTAACTAATACTAATTGATAGTCATTATTATCAGTTATTGTTATAATTAATATTATTGGCTAATAATTGGCAATTATAAGTAAGCAAATGATCAAGTATTATTAATATACACTACTAATAATTACTAACTGATATTAACCACCTAATACTAACTAATACTAACTAATACTAATTGATAGTCATTATTATCAGTTATTGTTATAGTTAATATTATTAGCCAATAACTGGCAATTATAAGTAAGCAAATGAGCAAGTGTTATTAATATACACTACTAATAATTACTAACTGATATTAACCACCTAATACTG